ACAGAAAAATTTGGTTTTACGAATACTTGAGATGTGGTTTTCAAAATTAAAGATTTGACCATATTAAACAGCATTCTAGGTTATGTGCGGATATTTGTTTTTTTAAACCTGTTTTTTTTTCAGGATTTAGTTGTAGGAATTACTAGTCATCAGATTTTTTATATGTCAACTATGCAGTCTGTTAGTTTTGCAAATTGGTATGTTTCATCAGGCTGTGAAGAAAATTTAGAGCTGAGTTTCAGCACAAGAGTGAAAGCTAACCTGATGATATCTCCCAAGGGTAACATGCACTGGGTGAAAAGAAACGGTCCTAGTACTGAGCCTTGTGGTACTCCATACTGCACTTGGGATCGATATGATACCTTTAAGGTGTAGAAATAAGAGACAGACCTTGTTTTTGAATGGTACCATACACAAGTAATTTTATTCATTTAAAAGTGGTTACCTCCTGAATTTTACAGCATCTGTTTACAGTAACAGACATGTTTTAATTATTCGTTTAATACATTGATCTCCCTTTTACTGCCTTCATCAAAACAGCAGGAATTTCACTGTAGGAGGTGTGTTTTAGTGAAGGACATATTCACTCCTGAGGGCAAACCATGAGCTGAGGAGCCACTCTGGAGCATGAATTTCTCTAGCGGCAGGTATTTGTTATGCATGAAGGACTTTAAATGTCTTTTAAGTTCGGTCATTTGGCTGAAACTTCTCCCGCATGGAGCGCAGTGATACGGCTTCACTTCACTGTGAACGAGCTCATGCTTTTTCAGGCTTCCTAGCAAATTAAAACCTTTCCCACACTGAGGACAGATGAATGCCTTCTGATTAGAGTGAGTTTTTAAGTGAATCTGTAAGTTTCCGCTGATTGCAAAAGTTTTCCCGCACTCCTGGCATGTAAAAGGCTTCTCTTGAGTGTGAACTCTCATGTGCCCTGTAAGGCCTCCTTTTTGTCGAAAACTCCTCTCACACTGAGTGCACTTGAACGGCTTCTCTCCTGTGTGGATTCTTATGTGTTCTGTAAGGCTTGCTCTTTGTTTAAACCCATTTCCACAGTACTTGCATGTGAAAGGTCTCTCTCCAGTGTGAATTCTCATGTGATCCTTCAGGCTTCCCTTACATGTGAAACTCTTTCCACACTGACCGCAGGTGCACGACTTTCTAGCTCCAGTTCTCGGAGTTCTTTTTTGTGACACATTCTTTTTAGAAGATTTTTCATGCAGTTCTTCACTTTCCTCTTCAGCGTCACTCAGTTCTTCACTTTCTTCTTCAAGTTCACTCTGTTCTTCGGTTTCCTCTTCCACTTCCATCAGGTCTGAAAGGAACAAATTAAATGTACTTTTTAAAAAAAAACAATCAATTAAATTGAAAAGAAAAGTGAAATAAGAAATAAAAGTGACCCCTATTTAATATAAATTTTATATCATCATGTATATGCTAAAGGCTCATTTTATCACAACTCTAATACTTATTATTATCCTTATTATAATATTTCCTGGGTTTTGTCTCCACAACATGAAAATAGTGCAAAATACTGGATCAATTAACCATAATAACAATAAAGGTTGATAGTGGCTTTGGTAAGACAGAAATGTTTCAGAAACAGTAATGCTTTGCTACACAATGTGTGTTCAAGACAAATGCTGTGTGATTACACAATATGTGTGCACCGTCATAAGGAGTTATGCAATTACCTCTAACTTGTACTTGTTTGGGCAGAAATGTTAATGTTCCAGGTTAAGATGAGTGAAGACGCCCTCTTAAAGTGACAGTTCACCCAAAAACTTACCCTCATATTGTTACAAAGTTTTGAACACAAAAAAGAAGATATTTTGAAGATTGTTGCTGATAGATGTTGACTTCCATAGTTTGAAAATACTATAGAGGTAAATGGGGACCAGAACTTGTTTGATTACCAACATTCTTCAAAACATCTTCTTTTATGTTCAACAGACATCAGAAAGACATCCAGGTTTGGAACGACATAAGGGAGAGTGAATAACAGAGATTACCTTTCTGAGTGAACTACCCCTTTAAGAACAATGTGCATTTACTTTTACATTGTAACATATTTAGATGTAAGTTTAGCATGTACAGGATCATGATGATCAGTCAATGTGTTATTAAATAAAGAGAAACATTTGCTAATTTAGTTGTAAAAGTAATATTTGCATTTAAAGTGTCATTCATGTAAAATACTAAATCAACTGTTCTATTTAAAATTGTGTTTTGATTATTTAGCTGATAATAATAATAATAAAAATAACTGACTGACAGACAAAGCTGAATCCCAGAAAAAGAGACTATTTTTGAAAAGCAAATTTATTCTATGAATATTTACATATTTAATTACCTATATATTATTTGAAAATATATCATAATAGCAAGACTATGAATGCATATTGAATTATTTCACTCAGTTAACCTAAAAAAGTGACGATTTCTGAAATTGAATTCATGGAAATACTGAATAATAACCCCATTGATTACAAAAAGTATTACATTTAGTATTAATGCCACTCAGATCCTTCAGTGCCCATTCTGGCGACCCATCTTACCCCAAGGTTCTCTGTTTATCTTTTTACTTCTAAAACTATTTTCTTTCTCCACAAATCTAAAACATTAATGTGTCCACAAGTCCCTCATTAACAAATAGTCACAAAAAACTTGGATATTCAACATGTTTCAGCTGCCTAAATCACAAATGTTGATGAAATGACCAAATTTAAATAGCGCAGCCATTGATAAAAAGTGTTGGGATGATTTTGTGCTATGGCATGCATGTGTAGACTTCATTTGATGTAGATGTGAAAATAAATAGATGTAAAAACTGTAGCATGTTCATATTTATTAACATACTGTTAAAATCATACCATCCCTCTTAAATTAGTTGCACATATAAAACACATACGTGAGGTTATTCATGGTGAGTTGCATGTAAATGATCGTCGGACATCTGTACAGTGGTCTGCAATAATCACAATGTATTAACATCATATTTTGTGTGTCCATTGTCTCCAAAAAAACTGTGCGAGCAAACGGAAGGGATCGTGCAAGTTACACGTGGACTTGAATATGTTAGATAAGGATCTGCGCTATTATTGCTGCACTGTTTCTGCAAACACACCGATACAAAGATATAATGCTGGAAATCCCTGTTGGACACACAGTAATACGAGTTAATATAGATCACTGTTAACATCACAGACCTCTCTGCTCGTCGGGGTCTTTCTCTCCGTGTGTTTCTGCATCTCTCGCGTCTTCTCTCTCGTCTTTAAGAAACTCCATCGTTACGGTAGATTCAGTCGTTACTCCGGGACTCGCTGCTTCTTGTTTTGCGTTGTTTGGCGGCTGATCGAGCGCTTTCTTCAGCGGAATGATCAGGATGTGTGTGTGTGTGTGTGTGCGTGTGTGTGTGTGTGTCGGATGGCTGTGGGAGTGGCTGACTGAAGATCTGGCTCTTTGTGAACGCAAACAGTCCGAGGCTGCGCATTATGATAGAGACCAACGCAGTGTTGGACAGAAGCGAAGCACATTTACTCGAGTCTTGTACTTAAGTACACTGTTTGAGTATCTGTAGGCTATACTTTACTTGACTATTATTTTTCTGGAAACTGATGACTTTTAACTTCACTACATTTGAAAGACAAATATTGTACTTTTCACTCCACTACATTTCTATCAAGGTCCTCGAAGTAGAAAGTCATGTAGCAGCTCTGAAAGTCAGTGGGGGATTGTTTCTTCTGTAAAACCTGACTTTTCCCAGACAGCATATCAGTAATCACTCTTGTAGGGTTACCTGAAGTGATTCCCCAGCATTTTTTTAACACTGACCAGTTGCAAATGTGATATTTATTACAGTTCAATAATAAGGAGTTAATATTGTGGTATATATTAGACACAATATTGTCTGATTTTGCTAAATTGTGTAAATGAAAATATTATCTATAAAGCCACAGAAGAACTGTTGTGCGTCTCCTAACAAAACACAGTAGGTGTTTGACTGAAGCACTGCAGACCGTAGTACCGCCAGAGCGATGATGGCAAATTAATCTGACTGCTTTGCTTCTTTTGTTAAAGCAGTGTTGCTGTTGTAAACTTATACAGCTACAGTTGTGTTGCTGGGTTTTAAAGCAGGTTTGATTTTTTTTATTTACAGCAATTTCACTGTTCACTGGGTTTAGAATGTGGATGAATGGCTGCATGTAGATGTGTGAGATCACCACCATGCTGCTTTTGTGGGGGTGGGTAGGGGTGTTAATTTTTTATTTTTTTTTGTCAACTTACTTGTTTCATCTCTATAGGTTTTAAACATTCTAAAAGCTCTTTATTCCAAAGATATACTACAAGCTAGTTAGTGTATTCAGTAGGTGTAGTGTATTCTAAGTTACTTCAGAGGCATAAGGTATTATAACCGGGACTAAACGTCAAGAAAGATTTATTGCTTTGACCTTGTGACCTTACCCCTCCCCCCACGCAGACCACCCACGTCACGACCGTGCTGACCCTGTGACCTCCTGTGAGGAAATATGATGTTTGTACAACTCTGTCCAATATTAAAGTCCTGAGGAATGTTTTTGAATGTTTAATGCACATTTTGAACTCCCACATCTGGGGCCCATCTGCCGTCCACATGCTCAGGAATCCGGTTGCATTTTTGGTCTCTCTCTCTCTCTCACACACACACACACACACACAGTGGCTGTGTCCGAAATGGCATACTTCTCTACTATATAGTAGGCAAAAAGCAGTAGGCGAGCAAATAAGTATGTTTGAATCCTCAGTATTCATAAAAGAGTAGGCGAAAATTGCACTAATTCTCGCTAGATTCGGACGTATACATACTTAAGTTGCGTCCAAATATGCATACGTACCTACTATATAGAAGGAGTAAAGAGTATGTGAAGAAAGAAGTACGTTTGAAACCACAGTATTCATAAAAGAGTAGGCGAGAAATCCCCGGATGTCCTACTGCTTCAGCCCAGATTCTGAAGTGCTCATCGATGGATACTCTTCTATCCCAGAAGCCCACGCGAGAGGATACGTCATCATCGAACGTGACGGAGAACAGCGACGAGCGTGTTTACAAATGTGAGGTTCCCTGTGTTAAAATCATATTTGTTAAGCTACTGTAAAACTGTTCAATTGCTGAAGGTGTAAGACGCTAGACAGTATAGTATATTTGTGATTTTGCTGTAAAAACTTGTTTTATTATGTATAGCGAACAGCAGAGCTCCAGTAAGCACACGTATGTCACCAAAGTGCATTTACATAAACCTTGTACATCTTAAAGATGATTGAATGTCTATTTAATATGTGACAGGAAAATGTTCTAACAGAATTGCAGATGAGCACATCACAACATGAACAGACATCTGAGCGAGTGATGTATGTGTGCTATTATACTAGAATTCACTGTCAACACTGCTTTAGATGAATGTAAGTAATGTTAATAAACAAATCTACATAGAGTAACTAAACATATGTTATCTATTTTATTTGTCCGTTAGTACTGTTGATAAATCGTGGAGCACTTGTAAATGCAGTATAGAGCAGATAAATCACAGCGATGACTGACTCTTGTCTGATGTTACAGGAACAGATGAGACACACGTGTTTATCTGCTGCAGAGAGACTGATGAAGCAATGCTGCCATCAAAGGCTCTCAGTGAGTATACTACAGACATCAATAAAACATCTTTTAAATCTTAAGTTGTAGTTTATTTTAATTATTGTCATTTTAATTCTTGATCGCTGTACATTTGATGCAGAGCTTTTGTGGTGAAGCAGGTGACGGTGGCATTTGTGTAAAAAAAAAGGAAAACCTGAAACATCTATCTATCTAGCCATATCTCCATCCATCCATCCATCCATCCATATCTATCTATACATCCATCCATCCATCCATCCATCCATCCATCCATCCATCTATCTATCTATACATCCATGCATCTATCCATATCTCCATCCATCCATCCATCCATCCATCCATCTATCTATCTATCTATCTTACAGTATATATATATTAAGATACCAGAATGTACATGTATAGGTTTTACAGATGCTTGATGATATAGGTAAAATATATTGTGGAAAAATGTATATGAAGTTATTTAATAAGCTTTCTCAGATCACCTGTGTTTCATATCTCTGTCAGCAGCTGCCATTAGAAATGTTCTTGGAACTTCTCTGTTCTGTTGACAGAGTTTTTTTCTGTCGCTCCTGAAATCACAGTTTGTATCAATATTATCTATCTATCTATCTATACATCCATGCATCTATCCATATCTCCATCCATCCATCCATCCATCCATCCATCCATATCTATCTATACATCCATCCATCCATCCATCCATCCATCTATCTATCTATCTATCTATCTATCTATTATATGAAGTTATTTAATAAGCTTTCTCAGATCACCTGTGTTTCATATCTCTGTCAGCAGCTGCCATTAGAAATGTTCTTGGAACTTCTCTGTTCTGTTGACAGAGTTTTTTTCTGTCGCTCCTGAAATCACAGTTTGTATCAATATTTTAGAATGAAAGAACATAACGTGTTTGAAATAGTTTCAGCCCATTTTAGTCCATGTAAGTGACATCGCCGATTAACCGTACAGTGCATTCTTTTAGGTTAAATTTATACAGAATTATACAGAAATACTTTGACGACAGACTTTGCTCAGGTATTTCAGAACGACCAGAACAATATATAGATGCTGTGAACGAGATCGGTCCGCTGTTAGGCAGTTATCCCGTCTCATAGCGCAGAGTCACATGACTTTTTCGATGTGCATGGAGGAATTTATTCAGTAAATGAGTTTCCATCGTAGCTTATGCACATTTATCTATCTATACATCCATGCATCTATCCATGCATCTATCCATCCATCCATCCATCTATCTCAGGGGTAGGCAAGTTCGGTCCTAGAGAGCCGCAGTCCTGCAGAGTTCAGCTCCAACCCTAATCAGACACACCTGAACAAGCTAATCAATGTCTTCAGGGTTACTAAGGCTATAGGCAGGTGAACAATATATAGATGCTGTGAACGAGATCGGTCCGCTGTTAGGCAGTTATCCCGTCTCATAGCGCAGAGTCACATGACTTTTTCGATGTGCATGGAGGAATTTATTCAGTAAATGAGTTTCCATCGTAGCTTATGCACATTTTTTCTTATCGGATAAAAAGTTTGTCCTACTCAATTGTGCGGATACGTTTTTTATGCGCATTTTTAGAATCTATGCGCATCTTGGCGTTTCCATCCAGCGTTTTTTTATGCAAAATTCCAAAATGTGTATAAAAATAGGTGATGGAAACATAGCTGTAGGACTGGAAATGATCAAAGACTTTTGCTTTCCTGTCTGAAACCTATCTTCCATAACAAAAGGCCCTTTGGCGTTCCTGACGACACAGAGATCAAGGCCTGTAGCACATCATGTGTATTCATCGGGGGGCTGCTGATCGTCACAGCTTGTGCACAGTGAGAGGAGCTGTAGCCTGCTGATTGGTCAGTTTGAATGTCTCATGTTTGGTTTTTAGTCACATGGTCGAGGACGGGATAAAAGAAGACACATCCACACACACACTGCCGTCTGCACATGTGGAATCAATTAAAATACTCCTGCTTTAGTTACATTTAAACCCTATTTCTCAAAAAAAGCATGACAAACATATTTGTCAGCGTGGAAGAATCTGCCAGATACGACTTAAACTGAATGCATCTTCTGTGTTTCACATTCATCTGTTTGAATAGTGTGCATGTAAATGATTCACAACAACACCGAAGGCATTTTTCTCTTCTGTGTGAAAATAAAAATATTTATACCTTATTTCATTGCATGTGACCCAATCATTAAAAGCATTCCTGTATAAGTGTACACGGATTGTGTGCGTGACCGTGAAGCACACTCGAGGAGGAACATGTGCGTCACAGATGTGACCGGATGTCAAAGGTCAAAGGTGAGAGGCCAGCATCCATCAAGCGTTCCCTGTGTTTAGTGTGGTTTTGTTCTGTTCGCTCTTGTTAGGCTGTGTGTTCACTCCGCTGAGCTTCAGTCTTCATTCAGCGGCCGTTGTGTTTGTAAATCTGTTGTGTTTCTCTCTTCCCTCTTTGAATTTTCTTTATGTGTTTGTTTAATAAATCTTCTTCTGCTCATCTGTGCCATCCTAACACATGATCAGTTATGACTTGACTAGTTTGGGTGACATTAATGCATGTTTTAATGTGTATCTGTCTCTCTTGATTTCTGATCTCAGCCTGTGTGAACTGACTCTTTGTTTCGGGCATGATGTTGTTTGTGTTGCTGGAGTGAGCGAGGCAGTGTTACTCCTCCTCCACCCCAGACTGGAGAGGAATGGTTTGCATTCACACCAGTGACCATAAACCGTCTCCTGAGCTCACATGGTGCACACAGGGCAAAGTTGACTTTGAATCTTAATTATTACTGTGTAATTCACCTCGCTTCATAACAAACAAAGTAGAGATGTGGATGTCAGTGTGAGGAAGCGGTGTCTCGATGGACTTTTATGTTGAAGTGTTTCCTGTCCGGCTGCCATGTTTGTAGTCCATTGTAGTTTCTGATGTTGATCAGTCCTGAATGTTCCAGGAGCCTGATGTATAAACGTTGCATATGCACAAAATGGGCATGAAATGTGCGTACGCAATTTTCCACGCACATATCCGGATTTATACAAAATAAACTAGGCGTAAATATGTGCGCACCGTACGGACACTCTAGACTCTAGACCATGCGTACGCACCCTTTCTGCATTAACTGCTCAGACTAGTCTAAGCAGTTAATGCAGCCGGTCTGTGCCGGAGCTGGAGAGCAGGTCACATCTGTTCCTCTGACCTCTGACCTCTGTATGGGCTGTTCTTCTGTGAGGGATTTTCACTTCCCGTGTTTGTCACAAACGTTTTTCCTAAAGTGAATTTTTGTGATGGTAATAAAAATGTTTCTCTTTTTGGGGAAAAATTAGATAAGCCTTAGGATGTAGAGCATAAGCTAGCTATGAGCAAAATAACTATATTATAAATATAAAGAGAAATGGACCATCTCTGAATTGGTGTGAGGTGTCCCAGTCTGAGCAGCGGCTGTTCCCAGCTGAAAATAAAGTGCACTTCAATGCACTAAAAAATAATTAAATACCAGCAAGTACATTTGTAGAACATTCTTCTTTTTTTGTGCTAAATATTTTTTTTTTATTTATACACTATAAATACACTAATTAAAAGAATATTTATACTTCAGTATTACTTCAGCACAATTGCAAAAGTATACTAAGTACTGGCAATACCACTGATATTTACATTGATTTTTAGTGCATTGAAATAAAGTACTCTACCGCAAAAAATATACAGATGACTTTTTAGCGTGCTTTGATTGATTTAAAAATTAGTTCAATGTTAGTACACTTTTATATAGTTATCCAAAGTTAAAAATTAAATTGACTTTATTTAACATATATTAGTAATGTAAGTACATTTTCCCAACTGTGCTACTTAAATAGATTTAATATAAATACACTAATTGATTTTAAGTGTAGTCAGATAAAGAACCAGAAGTGTTTTATAATTGCATTGCTTAAAAGTGTGCTACGATCGCTTTACATACAATTTTAGTGGATTTGTATATATACTATCACTAAGTTCTATTTGGATTTTCATGAAAAATACCGTAGAAATGTATTACTTAAGTAAAACCCTGTTGTCACACAGTCCCACTGCTTGAACTTGGTTTGCACCGTTTTCACTGTTTAGTTAGTTGCCATGGTTTCTGATTTGAGTTTTTCTTTAGGTTCAGGTGTGTCTTGTTAAATTTTTTTACTTTTATTTATATAGCGCTTTATACAATACTGATGGTATCAAAGCAGCTTTACATTGTGAACAGGAAAATAGTTAGTCTATAATGCAAGAGTACGATAACAAACAGTCATTTTCCAGCTAAAGTCAAGCGTCCCCAACTAAACAAGCCAGAGGAACCAAAACCCCATCGGTGACAGAAATGGAGAAGAAACCTTGGGAGAAACCAGGCTCAGTCGGGGGCCAGTTCTCCTCTGGCCAGACGAAACCAGCATGATGTGGTTTAATTCCAGGCTGCAGCACAGGTCAGATTGTGTAGAGGACTCGTCTGGTTCCTGTGGTCTTGTGCCGATTATCCTCATTTGGTCCAGGCCCGGATTGGCTAAGGAGGATTCCTTGCTCAAAAAAAAAAAGAGCTAAAAATGGATAATATAAAGTGCAAAGGTGGTGCTGAAAAGGCTAGAATAAAAAAAGAGAAAGCTCTCGAAACTGATGCGGCCAAATGTACTAAGCTGAGTACATTTTTCCGTAAAACCAGCGAGAGTACAAATGAAGACGATGAGACGGTAAGCTAACGTTATGCTAGTGCAAAACAACGTTGTCTGCAAACCACCGTTCATGTTTATGTATCAAACTTTTTCTTGCAGCTCTTCAGCAGCAGCCTCTAGTCCAGTTTGCTGCTAACAGTGAAGAGCCAAGCTCAGCAACGTTACCAAGCACCAGCCATGAGCCCAACACCAGAATGGCCAGGTAGGATTGTCACTGAGTGAATATAAGAATTAGAACAATTAATATTAATGAAGAGCATGGTGTACACCTGCTCAATGAAAAATGCCCCGAGATAATGAATGATACCAGATGATTCAGCAGCACTACATTAATGAAACTGACTTGACTCGATCAGAAAGCTTTGTAAAAAGGGAGATTTGTTTTGTGATGAGAAATATGGCCATTTTAAAATTTCATTTAGTGTCAGAAGCAGAGCCAGGATCCAGTTGTATGAAGCAAGAGACTGATGCTCTCACTGTAGAAGACACAGGTAAGCTGTTGTACCACAGCGTGTGAATAAGCAAACATGATCACATTAGTTACAATATAACAACTTTCTATGCCCAAGTGTTACTGGTGACCCATTATGTTTTTAATCAAAAGATAGTGAATATACAAAGCCCACGATTGAAAGAGAATAGGATAAAAGTCATATGAAATAAGCCTGCATATTTTGCCATTTGGAAATTTTAATTTGCTTTGATTTAATTGAATTTGAACGTGCTTTCCATGTCAAATATGCTAAAGCTTACAGAATGCTTTTTATAGTGATTAAATACAGGTGCACTGAAGTCTAGGGATCCAGAAGGAAGTGTGAAAGGGAGAGCAGAGTCTACTCAGAGACAGATGAACGAACCCAGAACCCAGAACCACTAGCTAGGAACAAGCTAGATGAAGAGGATTCTGTTCATAGTCTTGATTACTTTGCTCGACCTCAGTCACGGGATATACATACATTTTTTTCTTATCATCCTCAACAAACCCCAAATGTTCCTATACCAAAGGTTTTCAATAGCAAAGATGGAACAAACCGCAAGTGGCTGACTTGCTGTGAAGAAAAAACCCAGTCTCTGTTCTGTTCTGTTTGTTTGGCATTTGCACCATTGGTAAGTGATGGCCCTTTCATAAAGGGAGGCATGAAAGACTGGAAACACATTCACCAAAGAAGTAAGACACACAGAGATAGTGCAGATGCATGCTTTCTGAAAATGCAAAAGGCAGATGTGAAAAGCCTGTTGACTGGCAGCCAAATGTGATTGCGTGCTGAGCAAGGGAAAAAGAAACGTCAGGTGATGGAGCGCATAGTGGACGTTGTTAAAGTCATAGGCAAATGTGGCCTTAGCTACAGGAGAGATAAAGAAGAGGCAGGTTATAGCTTACAGAACCTTGCTGTTAATCATGGTAACGTCCTGGAGCTGATTCTACTCTTGAGTAGACATGACATTTGCCTCCAACAGCATGTTAACACTTAACAGCAAACAGCAGCATGAAACTGGTGCAAAAGGCAGAAGCGCACTAGTTACTCTGCTGTCAAAAGAAGCATTGAATGAAGTTGCTGATGTCATTAGCCAACTGATAAAGGTGAAAACAGCAGAAGAAGTGAGACAAGCTGGCATGTGTTCAGTCCAAATTACCTCAACGCAAGATATCAGCTCCAAAGACCAGTGTTCAATCCTACTTAGATATGTACCAGATGTCATTCAAGAAAGACTGATTGCTGTGGTGGACTGCGAGTCATCTACTGGCCAGACTTTTGTAGAGCTTCTGAAAAAAGTGCTACTGGACATTAATATTGACATTGGAGCATGTGTGGGCAACTCAACAGATGGTGCCGCTAATATGCAGGGACAGTTTAGGGGGGTTTCTACACTCCTTATGACTTTATGACTTGTGCTTATGACTTTAGACACCATTGTAGATGACAGTACACAAAAGCCAACTGTGAGGGCCAAGGCAAAGGGATTCATAGAAGGCCTTTTGAAGAATGAGACAGTGCTCGCTGCTCAACTCTTCCTTCACATTGTTGAGCTTACATCCCCCTTTCAGAATACTTACAGACAAGGGGAATGGCTATCATCACAGCTCAACGCGTCAAAGCAGCTTTACAAAAAAGGGAAATAGTGTTTAGTAGGCTTGATAATAGAGTACTTGATTGTACTATTTAAAGACACCATAAACAGTTATGTATACAGCGGGTTGTAACGAACTCAGTCCACTGAAGGCGAGAGTAGTGAAGAACCCAAGTGCAATTTATTTACAGTGTGATCCAAACATCCAAACAATAATCCGAGACTTGACTTGACTTGACATGAACAGACTTGACTTGACGAGGCATGAACAGACTTGACATGAACAGACTAGACTCACCAACAGCGGGATAAATACATTCAATACACGACGACAGACAATGGCAACATGATGGCTACTTATAGGAAACAAGAGGGTCACATGACAAGAACAAACCAATGGGAAACAAGACACATGACTAAAACAACCAATCAGAACATGACACATACACAAGGCTGAGATACATGAGGGCAAGGGAAGCATGACACAAACAGCATAAAACAATTACAAAATAAAAGACATGGAAACATGAACAAGACAAAACCCAAACACCACATTACACGGGTAAAATAAGTATGGAACACGTCACCATTTTTCTCAGCAAATATATTTCTAAAGGTGCCGTTGACATGAAATGTTCCCCAGATGTCAGTAACAACCCAAGTAATCCATACATACAAAGACAACAAAAACAGATAAGTTTAGAAATTAAGTTCTGTGTAATAAAATGGAACGACCCAGGGAAAAAGTACTGAACACATGAAGAAAGGGAGGTGAAAAAGGCATGGAAAGCCAAGACACCAGCAGAAATCTATCAGTAATTAGAAAGCAATCCTGCCCTCGTCAGTGGAAATTAATATCAGCTGGTTCCCAACACCTACAGTACCAGGATGATGAAGATGAAACAAGGCTGGAGCGAGACAATGATCCCAAACACAGCCGAGGAAACTCTCGATTGGTTTCAGAGAAATAAAATAAAGCTGCTAGAACGGCCAGCCAATCACATGACTTGAATCCAATAGAAAATAAGAACTAAAGGTCAGAGTTCATAGAGAGGCCCACAGAAGCTTCAAGATTTGGAGACTCTGTGGAAGAATGGGCCAAACTCACACCTGAGCAATGCATGCCATAGTTTCTCCAGACAGCTGTCATTGCCAACAAAGGCTTCTGCCTCCGAGAGGATTATTAGTGCTCTCCTGCCCAGCCTCCAAGATCTGAATGCATCCAGAGTGAGGAAAACAGCTCAGAAAATCACTCTGGATCCCTCACATCCGATAACTTGGATGTGGATTCTTGAACCTTTGCCGTCGCAAATACCAGGACAGCCAGGCACAAGAACAGTATAACATGACATGAATAGACATGAAGAGGCAAAAACAATGGATTTAAAAAATTTTAATAAAAATCACCAATCAATTTCAACAGGACATTTCCATAAACTGGTTTTCCCATTAAACACAATGTTATCTATACACTGTACCTAATTTGCATATTAATGCGCTGTTGGGACAGCATGTTGAAAAAAATAAGTGTAATAATGGGAGTAATATTTGGCCAAATTTTCATAATAATATCTAATATTTCATAAGAATATTGATAGATAATTTATTTTCCTATTCATTTGTTGTGTCTCCCAAAATGCATAATAAACATGCTTTTAGTCCTGCTGTCCTCTACAGTGGACATGCATGAGATCAATATCTGTTTCATAACAGGAAGTCATATTTGGGTTTGAAACCCCTTAAAATTTTCCTCAGATGCTGATTAATGACAAACAATTAGAAAATGAGTCAGATTTAAATGATAATTACAAAATATTATCATATTTCCATAAGGATGTACAATTTTATCACTAAATTAATGTCAGCCATTTTTAAAGACCAAGCAGAGTTCATGGTGAAACCTCCACATGTTTGGTATCTCTGGAAAGCCCTGAATGTGCTCTGTACAGGACATCCAGACCTAAAACTGTGGCATGTGAGGTCTCAGAGAAATTCACTAAAATATAATGTCCACTACAGAGACAAACCCCCCATAGCCGGGTCTCAGGAGGATATGGCTAGTTTGAGCAGCTTCTCTGAAGATGACGGGCGGATTTGATGCGCTATGGCGGAGGAGAGGCTCATGAATATTAAGCGCGTAATGGCACGTTCATCCTGTAGTCCTTACCGATTGGTTGACAGGCAAGACATTTGTTATCGAGCGCACGTCAGCTGACCAATCAGCGCGAAGGCTTGGCTTATGAATATTAATTAGATATCGTGACCGAACGCTCTAGTAGACTTTCTACGCAACTGCAGTCCGACTTATTAATATTCATGATCAAACTGTATTCTCCGCGGTGTGATTGGTGCAGTGCCGCGGGACCTCGGCGGAGCTCCGTCTCTGATTGGTCGCGTCCTGCGCCGATTGCTCGACAGCGTTGCATCGTAATTAGTGCGGCTGCGTTGCAGGGCGATTAATTTGTCATTGGAGAGAAAGACTATAGGATGAAATAGCGTGACATACAGATGTGTCCATTCCGACAATAACACGACTCTCTTTGTTTATTTTCCAGCATCAGTAGCGGGATTATAGGTGTTGCGGCGCAGGTGCAGCAGGATAACGGTGAGGATGAATGATGTCAGGTCATGTGGAGGCGATGGGCCGCGGCGATCGTGGCGTATCAGATCATTTACATCCCTTACAAATACAGCTACATGCTTATATCATCCATACGAGTACAGTTATATATCCCTTATTAAGGCATCTGCAGCCTTTATGTAATTCTCCGTATAAATGCATCTGCATCTCTTATGTCATCCGTGTGAATAGATACATGCAGGCCTACAGCTCTTATGATGCATGTTTAAAAAACATAAATGTGTAGTAACACAATGCCGATGAAATGAGTGACGCTGAGGAGCTGCTGTTGCTCTGTCAGTCAGTGTTTGCGGATGTAAAAGCAATTGCGCAATGTTTGTGTGTGTGTGTGTGTGTGTGTGTGTGTGTCTGTGTGTGT